TTAATCTGCAGCAGGATCAGTTGATCCAGATCAGTGGGTCAGAACCAGCTCTAAGGATGTTTAATCTGCAGCAGGATCAGTTGATCCAGATCAGTGGGTCAGAACCAGCTCTAAGGATGTTTAATCTGCAGCAGGATCAGTTGATCCAGATCAGTTCCAGCTGTTCAGATTTCACCAGAACAAACCGTCAGACTTCTGGATCAGAGCTGATCAATAAGGTGGCCCTGTCTGTAAAACGTCCTTGTAAATTCTGGACTGTTCTGGTTGGGAACCCTGATAACAGTCTGAACAGAATGGAGTCCAACAGTTAAAGATGGAAACCAGAACCGATCCGGAGCGAAAACATCTGAGCAGAACTTCTGGCTGAAGTTCTTAAGAACAGATGAGGACGCAGTGGGCTTTAGGACCCTGCAGCTTCCCAGCTCTTCATCCCTCGCTGTGATTGGTGGATGTTAATGAAGGGCTGCTGCAGCTCAGGTGTCTGCGCAGACCAGGTGAGCCTCGGCCAATCAGACGGCAGCTCTGCACTGAAATGCAGTCAGACCTGTCAGACAGTCACAGGGCGAGTCGCATAGAGTTAGAGTGGAGAGAGAGAGAGAGAGAACTCAGAAGGAGGAAGACACACACACACACACACACACACCAACAGCAAGCCGGTCATACATGCAGATCAGAACACGCTGTGACATCGCTGTGACATCATGAGCTCCCCCGCTGGGCAGATGGTCAGGACAGCAGAGGACAGGTGAGCAGAGGTTCTGACAGGCGCAGCAGAACCTCAGAGTGCGTGTGAGTGTGTGTCTGTGTGCTTCCTGCTCCGGCTCACAGAGGAACTTGCATTTCTGGTGCTGACGCTGGTTCTTCCTGACTCTTCATGAAGGCATCGCGGTGCTACTGTCACTGCTCAATGGTTCTGCTTCAGTCCTGATCCAGTCCTGCTTCAGAGACATGACTGTACTGAGAATGGAACAGGTTCTGGTCCAGATGCAGCGGGGCTGGTTAGTTATCGATGATGTCACGAGGAAGATCTGCTCCTGATTGGCTTATGCTGGATATCAGGTCAGAGGATTATAAAATGCCTAGAAGGTTCTGCTGGGAGGAGAACATCCCGGGTTCAGAAGGTTCTGTTAGAGTGCGATTAAAAGGTTTAGAGGAGAACAGATCCATTATCCTGACATCCATCTGAAGCCGTGTGTGAAATCTCCCACAGTGAGTTCTGAACCTGAAGTAAACAGGGCTCTGACCCTGACCTCGCACCT